TGCCAGCCACAGAAGTTGCCGCTTTGGTGCCGCTACAACCTCATTCACAGGCTCTCATTGTGTTCCACAGCCGAGTCATGTGCAACACCTAGTGGTAATACTCGGTATTACTGATCTGGTATTTGGCTTAATATCAAACCGGTTTGAAAATGTTATATCAGTAGTGTAATAATAAGGTGTTTTTTGTTTAATAATTTTAACAAAAGAGGAATAGATATTGTCATCTGATGGGGCTTAAAGCATGCGGGAACAGATGACTGTCTTACATTAATTCTTTGTTGAAAGGGACAAATATCAGACAGTGCTCTAATCCCTTTGGTCATAGTGCGGGTTGTCTCTGTATGTGACCAGGTTAGTAATCGCTGTTTTCCCTTCTACTCCGATAAATGAGCAAGTGTGTCTCAGGGCTGAGTCGCAAGCACAAATAAAGTACTGTACCATGCCGTGACTTTATGTAGGGCAGCTATATTCTACAGCCAATGTCCTCTTACAGTTTCTGTAGCGCCTGCAACTCGCTGTCACACAGTGGCCTGAATTGGAGGAAATGCATGTGACAGTCAGGTTGGCACTCAGGCAAACACTGGCATAAAGTCACTGTCGCAATTAAGGCAGATCACACTTGTAAACACACCTGAGAGGCCACACGCACCATACCATAACTGTTGTGTCACTGGCCTTTTGTATAGAAGACACCAGTTAATTGTTTGTTTATCATATATTTTTTTTTCTTTTCAAGCTTGGTTTAAGTGCAGTTTCTCTGATAATCTGTAAGCAGTGCACTTTAGTACTCTGTCAAAGAATCACAGCAGTGGAACAAGTGTAAACATGGTAATTGACCACCATACCGAAGCTGCATTACCCAGATTAGCCTCTGGATGGCAGTGCCAGGCTGTGCTACCCGCTGTCAGCCTCAGCTCTCTCATTAGTGAGGTCTAGCAGGCCCCCTCCGACATGTCTCATAAATGTCAACACCAATACAGCAGGGGACAGTGGGCCTGGATGTAACAAACACAGACGCCATGAAAGTCCACTCTGTCTGTCAAATCAATCACCGAGGCAAGCCACAAGCTGCATGTTCACACCTCACATGGAAACTACCTGCAAGTTGGCATTCGGTTAGTGTAAAGATGCAAAGGACAAATCCCTGTGGGGTTATTAGGGATTATTTTGATTTTGAATGTAAGAAGGAATTTGTAGCATACATTGCACAGACTTTGGCACTGGCCTTTGTAAATTCCTTTATGTGTGTGTACGTGTGCCTGTGTCTCCCGAAGTTATTGTCACCTTGCTGTGGTCAGTAAGTCTCTGTCAGTATACCCTCCATACCACCCTCTCCCCGATCCTCCTCCTCTCTTCTTTCTCTTTTCCATTCTCTTCCCCCTTCTCTTTTCCATTATCAAGCCATGTGCTGCCTGCACTCTTTTCCATTCTCTTCCAATCGGGCCACAGGAGCAGGTGGATTGGAGATAACTTGTGCTGTGCTTTGTTTTCGCCCTGACACTGTCATTAATCATTGCCCAAGCCACACTTCAACATATAATAATAAGGACTGGCTGCTGTGTGGGGGCTGCCGCCCAATTGCCTTTCATTGCGCGGATGCCAAATTGGAGGTGAACGGCCATAGCCAGACACTACTCCCCTGTCCCCAGACTGTCTCATCATTTAGGTATTTATCCATCTCAGCCTTGTCTGTGGAGCTTCTCCCTGCCCTCCCAAGAGGCCCAAGATTGTTAGGGGGAGGATCAGATTTGTTGCTCAGGCTTTTTGGCTTTGATTCTGTGCCTATAAGTTAGGGATTAGAAGCAAATTTCCCACAGGGCAGTGCTGGATTTGCTGGTATTTAACTGTTTAACCTGTCTTAGTCTTGTGTAGCAAAGGGTGGGCGGTGGTGGTGGGAGGGAGAGGAAGCAGGGTTTTGGAGAGAGACTGGTCAACAGGCCCTGAGAGACCCAGGTGGACTAAGCCAGAGTCAGGCCAGCATTGATAAGAGAGGGTTCCTTATCCATCACAACACCAGTGGAGTTGTTAGAGCACTAAAGTGTGTGTGTGTGTGTGT